CCCCAAAACCCCAAAACCCCAAAACCCCATTTAAATTTTCAAATATTGAAAATGAGCAAGTTAACTCTTCTGAAACAACGCCACTGTTTGCATAACGTAGAGTCCAAGAAAAATTAATATGGTATTTGCAATAGCCCATGATATCCGACTACTATCTCTCAGATCATTGAGGAATACAAGCAGAGACATATATGTAAATAAGCCTCCGGATACTGCGACCATTTCGATTGTGGTATTTCCACTGAAAGTAAAGCTTGTAAAGGCTCCCATGATTGATCCAAAACCAGTGAGAAGTTGATAAGATAGAGCTTGGCGGTATCCATATCCATTTTTGTAGAGATAAGCAAAGTCTCCTATCTCGTCAGGAATTTCATGGATAAAAGAAGCAACAGCAGTGGTCAATCCAAGCTTTGGACTCAATCCAAAAGTACTTGCAATAGCGAGCCCATCAGCGAAATTGTGAAAAAAATCACCGAAGAATGCTAGGATTACAGGTGAGGAATCACCTCTTTTATCTCTACTCTCATCTTCGTTGAGATCCGAGTTTTGATTGCAGGGATTTGAAAATAGTCTGTTTATAATAACTTCTAAGAAATATGACAAGATCATTCCTCCAACGAAGTAATAGTGCATTCTAATTTGTTGGTGCCTTTCAAAGACTTTGCCATCTTGTGTGTGATAGTTATTAAGTGAAGGAAAAATATGGAAAAATACATCTCCCATTATGGAGCCAAAAGTGAAAGCGTACATCAGCTGAATGAGCAAAGAGTTCTTACTGTCTCTCACAAACTTTTTTAAGCAAGTATATACCAGTGCCATTACTATCACAGGCACGGTTTGAATAATAAACGTTGCAATTATTGCCTGAGTCTTCCAGTTGTATGACGGATAACTTGTCATTATTTCATCTAATATTCTAGATTCTGTCTTTCCTACTAAATCATTGAGAGAAGTTTCCTGATGAACAAAAGTGAGGAATATCATGAAAGATATTGGAGTGCTTAATTTCATAAATCTTAAAAATTTATTAGTTAAAAGTTTCAACTTTGGGCATATTAGAAGGGGTTTTGGGGTTTTGGGGTTTTGGGG